GCTCATAGGGAGTGCGTACATTTGATCATAGTTCCTGGACTCCCTGTGGTTTCAAGTGAAAATAAATTATGAAAAATGATCTACAAGTACAAATTTGGATTTTGAATAGTATACACTCACTTCGTTCCTTTCTATGTTTTTCTGATTTTGCAAAAAATTCCTTCATCTCGTGACTAACTTCCATTTCAAAATTATCCCCTTCATCAACATCTTCTTCCGTGGTTGTTTCTGAACTTTCTTCGGATTGCTCATTTGGTCCACAGGTAGTCTGTAAAAATGACCCTTGTGCAGTGCTTGGTTGATTTAGAAAACCCTGTTGCCCAGAACGAGAAGACCATGGTTGTGAGTTGTCATGGTAACCGTCAAATGTGTTGTGATGAAGATGGTTAGGCAAGTTGAAGGGATAAGATAAATACGGTTGCGTCTGCAGTGCCGGCAGCGTATATGGCGTAAACCAATAATTATAGTACCAGTCACGAACAGAGTAATAATGCTGCCAGTATCTATGGAAACGGGGATGTTGATGCCAAGGTTGCCCTGGAGACAAGTCGAATTGAAAAGCGTTTTCACTCTCACTCATAATGCGCTTGGTATTTTCATAACACGTAATCACCTGCTGTGGTGTTTTAAGGGTTACGAATTGCAATAATTTCTGCCAAACTGAATAATTGTACGACTACGACTGCATTGTTTTGTACGTTTTGGTCGAAAAGGAAGCAAAAGAACTGTGTTTCTCTTATCCTACGTGACAATCGAATGAACAACGTCTCTCGTGCATTTGGTTGCACATCCACTGTTATATGTAATCAATCAGCTGGTAACAAGTGCGCCCTCTTTCGTCGCCACAGAAGATTAATTTGGAGGCATCCATTTTCACCAGGTGGATCACTTTGACGTGAGTACTGCTTCTTTTTAAATTTCTCTTTTTATTCAGAAAACTTAGTTAACATTATTTTGAATATAAGATTTTAAATAAAAGGAAAAAAAGGAAAATTCAAGTGTGTCACATTTAAGCTGAAACACACGTCTGCTAATTACCGCTCATCCCCATCAAATCATAGAACGTTCCGAATTTGCCTTCAGATTGCAAAGATGGCAGCTGAATGTCTCTGATTTGCACTGGGAATACAGGTAAGGATGTACAGCATATCGTTTTTCGCGATAGTAATTGTTTTCACAAGTGAGTGTCAAAACTGCTCCCACTACTGACTGTCACAGCTAATATTGATTCTGTAATTGCGATCGTATGCGTAAGTAATACTGCTCCTTCTCAAAACAAACGAACGAAATTATGTGTTGACAATGTTGTGTCGGTGGTTGTTGCTTCGCCCGTGAGACGGAAAAAAAAATAGAGCGTTGAAAAACGTGTTATACGGCAAGTGATTTTCCGATCGTCGTACAGTACATGTACTGTGGAAACAGTGGATTTCGCTTTTGACCAGGCATAGTGCTTGATCATACCAGACAAGTGTGAGGTAAATTTATTTTAAGAACATTTATTGGACATGAACGTGACATTTAGCCTCAGGACACTCGGAAAACTACTTTGCAATATTTATTTTTTAATACTGTTTCTTTGCCATATTTGATATTATTTTATTGAAAATAACATCTACAACAGTGTCTTTGGTACAGCATTTTTCTCGGCATGTAGCTGACATATTACGATAATATGATTACAGTACAACAACCTGGAGTTGTACATTTTCATTTAATGTCATGTAACAAAAAATGGGCCACAGTATTAATACCACAGATGATTTCCCCAAAATTTGAAATAAAACTTGACTGATTGTAAAATAATGCACACAGGACACCTCAATAATTGACATGCTTTTTTTTTAAATCTGGAGACGCAGTGACGTTAGGTATTACCTGCTTGTATATAATGCATGTATATACTTGACACACACTGTCAATGACTGATTTTTTTTAATTGCACTTTGTGATTGGAGGGGGGGGGGTGTTGAGGAAAGTGAATTTTGACAGCAACATGAATCATTATCAACTTGACCTCTATTATGTTGCCATGGTGCTGAATGGAAATTTATAAACTTCTCAAACTGGCGTGATTAGGCGTTGAAGCAGCTTGGTATACGTCATTAAATATTGAGTTGGTTTATAAAAAATTGTGAATATGGAAATATATCTAGAGCAACCTGTTTGCCCATCTGGTAAACCATGAGTAAATACTGGTTTTGTTTCTAGGAGAGTAAGCACAGTAAGACAATTAATTATAAGACAAAATATACAATTTTTTTTTTTATTGGTGAGGGTCTGGGCTTTTTGTAGGAATGAAGTAGTTATAGCGACGTAGGCTAATAGTACATTGTTTTCATGTTGCACTTCATAAATGGGAAAAAAATGAAGAATCGTCAATGTGTCCACAAATTTGAAAATGAAATGTGATACTGTAACATACACTTCTGTCATACAATATTTTTTTTTTTTTATTTCTGTGTGAATTTCTGTTGGTTGAATGTGACACAATTTATTGTATCTGAAGCTGATTGAAATTTGCCTTTATTCAACTCCAATGTGACATATTGTGTGAGATCTTGCAATAGATTGTTTCAATTTCAGGATTTACTGTAGAATACTTTATTTTCGCTTGGAATTTATTTTCGTTATTTCGCTGAAGGGATGAATCCGTGAAAATAAAATCCAGCGAATATACTTTTTTCTCCTATATTTCACATTAAACTGATCAAAAATCAGTGAAAATAAATTCCATACAAAACCCCTGAAAAGCCTTTTCAGCGAAAATTAATTCCAGCGAAAATAAAGTATTCCACAGTATTCTTGTGTATTTCATAGAATGGAGGGAGGTATCTACCTATCCAATAGATACAATTGTTTTGTTTGTAAATAAACGCGACTACCGTAATTTCAAATAAACATGCTTTTGCTGACTTCAGTGTACTTTTCAAGTTGTTCAGTTTAGCAAATTTGCTTTGCTGAATTTTTTTTTCTTAGGATAGCAATAATACCCATGGCAGCAGAGACGTGTATGTTTACCATAAAAACTCCCTCCATAGTCATCCCGCGGCATGCATATAAATTTCATAATTACAATTGCAATGTATATATTACCCATGTTGCATAAGTCTTGTTGAATCCAACATGGTAAAGCAACTTGTCTGTATTAATTTAATATTCTTAACAATAAATAAGTTCCTAGTTTAGGTTTTTTCTAATTTAAAAACAAATATTTAGTATATTTTTAATTATTGTACATATGAATGTATTATTTATTTCTTGGCATTTTTTTTTCAAGCTTTGGTAAGATGTTCGTGATAATAAAAAAAATAAATACAATAATACAGTACCAATAAGATATATAAAATTAAACAAATATACATCATATAATACACAGATTTTAATAATTGATGTTCTTCTGTACCAAAACTACCTTATAAAAATGGGATTTTATTTTAACTTACAGTAGAAAGCATATTTATAAATATTGATAAACCGAAACTCTTTTTTTTTGACACCAGACTTTTCTGCCCTAGGTTTTCTGTACTTTATTCTTATATACTACAATATTTCTAGAAATGAACCCTAATTTTGGAGCCAACAGACAAATGTTGAGTCAATATTCAGTTTTTACTCAAAGAATTTGGCTATTTTTGTCCCAATCTTCTGAAAGAAAGGGCAGACTATAAACGGTACTATTTTGTGAATTTGTGATGAAATAATGGAACTGGTGGTGAAACGGTTAAATCTAAATAAGGCGATTGGATTGGCTATTAAAGCCAGTGCCAACTTCCACAAGACAGTAAAGCTTGGTATACACGTTTACTAGCAGTGACGTCATAACTGCCATTTTGAATTTATATATATGTAGGTTTGTTAATAATTTAAAAACTTACATTGATTATTACAACTTAAAGTTGCAGGTCTTGAAATTCAAAGTTTACAGGGCACATTTTTTTCAGGGCTGATTTGAAAATATTGTCGTATTGTCATATCATATTGGAATAGTATAAGGAAATCTTTTTTTGAAGCATGCCTAGGTAAACTACATGACAAATTGTCTTTGATGCCTCTGTGAAGTTCAAACCTTGAAGTTGGTATGGTTTTCTTGCAGTTCAGTTATGATTTTTTGTAATATCGGTAATGACACTTTTTCTTCTCTAAATGATGATATGGTCTTTATTTAAATCGAAGGTCATAAAAATGAAATCAGTTGAACAACTGTCATAGATCAACGGTAGCGATTGATTGTTGCTCACAATCTGTAGGTTTGGAGTTTGGAACTACAGGTACCTGCCGTTGAAAGAAAGGGGTCAACCTGGATCCTCGGTAAGTGGACCTCAGATTCAATGGAGTGGCTAATCTCTGACCTGAATCCATTCAAGTAATGGATACAACATTAGGGAAACCTTGGCGAAGGTCCACAGGTGCTTTGGTCGGCCTCCCAAATAGCACATTTGATTACTGTAAAATACTTTATTTTCGCTTGGAATTAATTTTTACTACTTCGCTGAAGGAATGATTCAGTGAAAATAAATTTCAGCGAATATACCCGTTTTCCTATATTTTACATTCAACTTTTCAAAAATCAGTGAAAATTAATTCCATACAAAACACCCAAAAAGTCTTTTCAGCAAAAATTGATTCCAGCTAAAATAAAGTATTTTACAGTACTACTATGCTTTTAGGACTGGAAGAGGGTTACATAGTTGTTTCTTGTATGTAGTCACAAACATGAAATATGTTTTCTGCAGAAAAAATGCACTATGTTTATGGTCAGTACTTGTAACATCAAAAAGTTAAGATAGACAATAGTAACCGTCCACGTTAGAAACTGTTTCTTGGCACAAATAATTAAAAAAAAACTGATCTATTTCATGCCTGATTTGATATAAATTACAGTATATTTGTTATACACAAGACATCAAATTGTTGTTTTTTGTTCTGAAATGAATTCAGAAAATTTACGGTACTGTTTCGTTAGGATACAATTGGATTGAAAGGTCACATAGGAAATCAATTTTCTAATAATAACCAGTGAAACTCTGAGTGAACTTAGGAATTGTATTGACACCTAATATGCAGAGAAAGTTTACAAGATTATGAACTAATAGCAACTGTTAAAGCAATGAAACCAAGAATGGAACAGAACATGAGAAAATCATGCAAAAAAGGCGCTACAAAGAATGTTACAAACACTGTTATTATGCGCTATATGAGTTTAACCTGAACGCCTCAGTCATCTTTTGTCATCTCTCAAAAATTCAATTTGGATAATTTTTTTCATATTTTTTTCAAAGATTTTTATCATCATCAGTAGTTAGTTGGAAATTATGTTCATTTGCTCCTAAATTAAAAACTTAAATTATAAAAAATAGATAAAAACAGGCAAAATGTTGCACAAAACTTTTGGTGGGAGAAATAATGGTCATGGTTGTAATTTGAATGATTTTAATGTCATTTTAGTGGCTCAATATGTCTGACTTAGTAGAATATTTTGCCAACAATTTTTTCTTAAAAGAGTACATCTTGAATTAGCAATAATGTAGGGTAGAAAAATTAACTAAAATAATATGGCTATTTAAATAAATTAAAATAAAT